GCCTCCCCCAGCAGGCCTCCGCAGCGCTGCCTTTATTTTCTGGTGGGGGTGGCACAGGGTTTTTATTATTACTGTTACCGTTGTTTCTTTTCCCCTTCCTCCTGCCTTTGAAACGGGGACAAGACAAGCCCCTCTGCGCTAGGGCCCTAGTCCCTGCCCTCCTCCCACCTCACCTACCCCACCGCCTGCGGGACTGCCAAAATCCACCTCCCGTGTCAGGGGAGAATTGGGTGGGATTGCCGAGTCCGGGAGGTTTTCTGGCCTTGAAGGACTTTCTCTTTTGCCTTGCCCAGGCGTATGGGGAATTCTAACAGTTCTATAGTTTGCAGGGGCGGGGACAATACATGTCTAAGGAGGCGGCCAGTATGAGAAACGACATGGAAAAGGGGATGGATTGTGTTCGACATCACTTGCATAGGTTAAATATGTAGTATGTACAGCTTAGCTGAGTTAATATTGCTCTAGGACCTTAACTCTTGCAAACTTGAGAATCGGAAGGCAACGTTATAGTTGCGTTAAGATAAATATTTGTTGTTTATAAACATTTACTATGATGTAAGAGTAATGGGTGACTCATTATTACACCGCAGATATGTAGCTGCTCCCCACCAGATTCACAGTTAATATACCTAGGTATATCTCGATTAACTGCTAGAATCTGAACTCTTGTTCTATTGGGTTTAAGGAAATAAGCATCCCTGATGGTCCTCCCCCTTTTCCCTAGAAGCACCTCTGTGCCTTAGAAGGCCTTGGGAAAAACCTTTTTTCAACCCTGTATACCACTTTGTCAGTGTCATTTATCCTGGCTAGCATAATGGTGCGTTACTGGGTTATGCCGGACAAAGTAGTAACCTACTTTTTGTTCTGGATTTAATCCGTATTAGAAATGTTATATGCAGTGAATACATGGGGGTTGGAACAAGGACCATGCTTGTATTGGGATGCCTTTCTTTGAGTAATGTAAACTTCCTTTTAATTGTCATGCATTTTTCTAGTAAAAGCTCTGCAAGTCTGCAATAAAAATGGCCTCCAATAAAACTACATTGGTAAGTTCATGCACACCTAAAGTATATAAGGATTTAATCAACATATTTTTCTTCAAACTTATAACTTGGCATCTCCATTTAAAAGATACATCCACATCTCCCCTCCCCAGCATTATTCTGACCAAAATTTCAGATCCAGAAAGTAAGGCTACTAGAAAGGACATTGGCTTTCGCTTTAATAAATCTGCCATTTCTAAAGAGACTTGTTGGGAAAAAAAAAAATTAAAGGACTCTGCATTATTTCATATGTCCTGTAGTAGAAAACACTAAGGATTTTTTTAGCCTCCTTTCAGCACACCATGTAATTCATTATATATGTAAAAAATAAAATCCAAGTCATGTATTCATTTAATTTCTCCCAGTGCATTTGGGGAAAACTAATTTTCTGAGAAAAGGCAGTCTTTACAGATGAAAAATAGCATTATTGGGAAATGATGTGGCGTAGTTAAGATGCCTTTTGAAATGATTTTTAACAAATAACAGTTTCTTTGAATTTCATAGGAGCAGAGATTATCAGATGTCAACCCCTCCTGGACCATTTTAATGATGCATTCATGGATCTCAAGTCCTGTAAAGCTTTGCTTGACATTAAAATATGGACTTCTAAGGGCAGTTGGTTGCTGGTTACCATTCAACTAATAATGATACATAGTTTTGTGAAAGACAGAACTGAAGAAGTATAGTGTGAGATGCTTCTGAGGTTGAGGCGGGGAAGTAAGCAGAAATACACGTGTACGATTAAAAATTTGGATAGCAGAACAACTGATTTATAATGTACTCAAAAGGCCTGTTCTTAAATTTACTGAAATGATAACTGGTTGACCCAGATGGAGATATATTAAAAACTTGTATTAACTCCTGGCTTAGAAGTGCAATGGAGTGCTTCCTTTATATTGTATGATAACAAACTATATTAAAAGATTTCAGCAAGGTGAATGTCTGAACTTTCAGTTAGTAACTGATTGCCCACTTTTCCCTAATTCGAGTGAGAGAAGGAGTTAGAAGCCTGGGGAGGGGGTGCCTCAGGACACAGAAAGAATCTGTGAATGCAGTATTTTTGATCTTTTGATGTTGTTGAGAATTTTGCTGCACAGGTCAGGAAAATCAGTTATGGTTCCCATGGGAACCATAACTAATTCTGCTTTGTTATGTATTTGCATGCAAAACCTAAATGTATTAAGGGATAGTGTAGCTCTGGAACTGTAATTCCAATTTTGTTACCTCTTGTATGTTAAAACCCTTCACCACAGTGTCACATCAGCGTTTTAATCTTGCCCCTCAAAGAAAGAGTGATTATCCACTGGAGAGCATCTGCATCTGTCATATGTGACTTCTGAATGCGGAAAGGGAAAGGAGCCATAGATGAGCATTCAGTGGTCGAATGCCCAAGTTACAGCTTGCAACATGCAACCCTAGAGAAGGGAGCTTCAGGGGTCTAGTGGACATGTAGTACCCTTTAACTTCAGTCAGGTACCACATTCACTCGTGGGCCAAGATTTACCTTGGCTTGTGTAATCTCAGAATGGACAGGTTTTTAACAAACGTTCGGCATTTCTGCAGGCTCTGCAATCAAGTATTGTTTTAATAGGTTGGAAAGGCTCAAGAGTTTGGAAAGCAGTGCTGATGCACACGAGACCTAATTAAATCTCTAATATTTAAAACAAAAAGCAACATACTCTTGATTTTATTATTTCGTACTGCACTTCAAGAAAAAAATACAGACTCGCATGACATTCATGTTCTTCTGTGGAAGATTATATACTTAAGTCTCATAAAGTAAAAAGAAATTGTTGCTTTAATACAGAAATCCAAAACGTTTATCTTTAAGTGACAAGAATTAGTGAAGCCGAAAAGAGTACCAGAAAACAATCTTCCATTGAATCAAAGAATTTTAGTCCAACGGAGAACACAGATGGAGATGTTCCCCACTTGTAGCCTGCTTGCCTCATCACCAGTAATTATAATGTTATTACTATGGTATAGTGAGTCTGTGTCTTTTGGTCCCCGTCCCCTTCTTTTTCCTCATCTCTACCCGTTTCTCTTTTTCACACTTCCATTTCTTGAAAGAAGCTGTCTTCATAGAAGAGTTGGACATCTTAATGTTTTTATTGGGCTTCAATTTCAGTCTTACATTCTGTTTCCTGTGGAGGCAAAAAAAGCCAGTGTGCTTAAGTTGACACTTTTCAGACATGAATGCTGTGGTCAAAATACACCTGGGATATGCTGGCAGTTAAAATCTAATTGGAAATAAATGCTCCGTTTTAGATAATCTCTGTTCTATGCTTCCAAATCAAAACAAATGTCACATGAGATATAATCGTATACAGAAACTTGCTGTTTGAAAGAGAAACTTGAAACTTTTCCTGGTCTTCATTGTTTGCACCTTCAATTTATGGGTTGCTAACCAGAGTAAAGCTGTTTTGGGGAGGGAGGGAAAAATTAATTATGAAAAACAAGGGGCACAAAGACAGGGCTTTGGAAAGAAAGAATTGGCTTAAAATCTTCAGTTTACAAAAAGACGACAGTTTTTCTTGTGTCTAACATACATTTTTTTTACCACATCAAGAGAAAATTCTACAAAGTCTAAAAATTCGACAATTTCAAAATTGCTTCACAGTGTTCTCAAACTAACACGCGTTAATTCTAGAGAGGACTAGAGAAAGGCCATCAAGCAAATAGAGGTGCTCTGTGATTTTTGCTTGTCTGTTTTCTGTTCTGTAGGAAGTGCATTAGTGAGGAATTAGTTCTGTCCGCTTTGATTTAGGGTGCTGCATGACTATGTTTTAGGAGCTTAATACTGCTCCCATTAGTTTATGGCTGCCACTTCAACAATTTCCTTACAAGGTGCGGTCCAAAATGGCAAGCAAACTGCTTTGGGTCTGCTAGTGCTCCAGAAATGTGATATGACAACATGATAGGCTTGTTCCAGCCTTTTTAAGATTACAAACAAGGAAATTCTGAAATGTGTCCTTCTATTACTATTTAATAGTGCCTTATTAAACTGGGAATGCCTTGAGGATGATGTGGATGTAATATTTATTTTAAGAACTTAAAGAATACTATTTGAAGTATTGAATGTAAACTTAAAACACTTTTAAAGTTTTTTAAGTTAGCAAAATTTCATTTACGTGTTAAGTGCTGTACTTAAGCGTAGCTGTCTTAAATTTTTGCACCTTTGTGACATCTGTTTGAATGTAAGTTACATCGGTGCGTGGCTAAGAATGAGAAAGGACTGCAATAATGGAATGCTCCCAGCATGCATCCTGTTCAATAGTTACAGGTTACTGTTGAGTATTTTGCTTATTGTAGCAATACATCATAAACTTTGCTCCCATCAGCTTCTCCTTTTTTTTTTTTTTTTTTGGAAAAGGTAGTAACCACCTTTTTTTGTGTAGCATCCCTTTTCTATTTTATGCATTTTCACAGTTCCCTTATTACTTTTCTTTACTTCTGCCTTACGCTGTTTCGTGCCCTCTGCCTTTTCACAGGCATAGAGTTAACTCTTAGAAGCTTCATAAATTTTGAGCATGTAGCACTGAGAATTAAATTTATAAGGGGAGTGGAGGCACTGAGTGTATGGACAAAAATATTTCACCTTTTTAAAAACTGGTGTTGGGTATCTCATTAAGCAACTGAAAAAACCCAAAACTTTAACATGTCTTGCTCAGGTTACCTGACCACATGCACTAACGTAAAAGGAGTCTGAGCTTCTGGCTTTAGTGTGAATAAGTACATGATTCTTTGCTGTTTACTGAGCAAAGTTGGATTTGGCCAGTGAAGTAACTGTGTAAAGCAAAAGAATGAATAATGTCATTCTGAATTTCTTTTGTAGCACAAAATGGGAAAGAAACAGAATGGCAAAGGTAAAAAAGTTGAAGAGGCAGAGCCTGAAGAATTTGTTGTGGAGAAAGTCCTGGACAGACGTGTTGTAAATGGAAAGGTGGAATACTACTTGAAGTGGAAAGGATTTACAGAGTAAGGCATTACCTATTATTTTTTTCTGATAGAATGCTAAATACCATTTATTTGAAATAACTATGCAGAGAGGGGGTTGGATGATGGGGATACATTTTAAAGAACTTCAAGGGAAGGACATCCATGAATGCATATTCAAGTGGGGCAGTCAAGTATGAAAATAAAACAGAAGATACGTAGCTTAGTGTTTGTGCTACATAAAATGTTCCAAGACTTTTACCTTAGTGATCGTTCTTTGACCACTGTTCTTTGATTTAGCTTGTGTCAGTATCTATCAAGGTAAGCTAGACTAACAGTTGTTACGTATGTGGTGGAATGAATGTTACTTCTGAGTAAGAAATTTTGCAGGGGTTTAAACTGTAGGCAGCTCTGAAGCAATGAATTTGAAGCAGATAGTTTGGTTATTAGTCACTTTTCTGAACTGCTCTCAAATTAGATGAATTTGCATAAGGAATTCTGTGGCATTCTGCCTCCATTAGGCATACCCGAAAGGTATCTTTGGAGTCTCTTTCCCAGGACTTACAGAAGCACAACAAAACCTTACAATGGACTTAAAAAGTTGATTGTTAAAGAAGGCACATAGTTGTGCCTCCTCTCTCACTCCCATGACACTTTCTGGCAGACTACTTTACTAGCTGATGGTAGTGCACCTTATTTGAACATAAGTAGTTACATACGCAGTCGTGTTCTTGTTGCATACCTCCCAAAGTGATTGCATTGCAACATTCTGCATTCTAGCACCTGAAATTTGTGTAGTGATAAGTGCATAAACACAAAACATAATGTATTTAGTATTCGAGGGTCTGATTTGAAGTTGTAAAAATATGTTTTAGTAACTGAAAATAATTCGTAGGCATCCTGCTTGTGCAGTAGCGCTGTGGCAGTATTTGCGCATGAGGACTCCTGATTAGGTGCTTAGTTGTTGTAGGGAACATTCATGGACTTCTTAAAATTTTAGTTAACAAAATACACTCACTGGAACATTTGCAGTGCACAGCTCTGGACATGGAACCTTTGTTCCCTCCTGTAGTCAACTGCAGGAGGGAGATAGTTCTAGGTACAGTTGATCTCAGTGCTGTGAGACAACTTTTGAGAGCATTCCTCATGTATAGAAGCTTAGACATATATACTTACACTGTTTGTAGTGAGTGTTGTGTACATTCTGTTCTCTGTAACTCGTAGTGCTCACATCATATGGTTGGTTTGCATGGACAGTTTTTAGAGGAACCAGGGAAGGGAGTCAGTTTAAATGGACAGGTAGGTTTTGGTAGAGTGGGGATTGCTTGTTTTAACTCCTGTGATCCCACCCAGATCATAGGAGTTAATAGAGCTGCTTATTTTGTATCTCCAGTTTAAGAACATTGTTTTTCAACAGTAGCAGAGCATACTTCTTTCAGTAATCAAATGCAGTACATGAAGGTTGCTAAAGACGGCAAGGTAAGCATCCTTAGGTTTAAGAAACCTGCCTTACATAATGAGAAAAAGATCAACTTGCTTAAGGTGAGCCATGTGGCTAGTTTTACGTTTTTCTTCTTTTCCTAGTTTTACATAAATGTGTGTATGTTTCAGTGCTGACAACACGTGGGAACCTGAAGAAAACTTAGATTGTCCAGAGCTAATCGAAGCTTTTCTGAACTCTCAGAAAGCTGGTAAAGAAAAAACAGATGGTGCCAAAAGAAAATCTTTGTCAGATAGTGAATCTGATGATAGTAAATCAAAGAAAAAGCGTGATTCTGTAAGTATATGTTCATGTGCTAAGCTTTGTTTTTCCTGTGTCTCTTCCCTACCGCTCCATCCCCATCCCTCCCAAAATCCTGTTGTAACTTTGAGAATGAGACCAAACATGGGTTTAAAACTGTAAAAATCACCCAACACCTGGAACTGTGGTTTGAAAAGGGTAGTCATTCATGGTGGTTAATGAGACTACCCAAATGGTGGGTAAAAAATGATTGATTGACATGATGACTAAAAGTTCTTGCATTGTCCCATGATGCTTACTGAATAATTGAAAGTAAGACTGGTATAAGAGTTATTTATGAGTGATATTAAGTGGTCAGTTTGTATTAGAGCAAACGGTTCATGAATGGAACAAAGATTAAGTTCTGTTTTGGCTTTCATATTTAGTATATAGTTTTAAATAGGTGAGCGGCAAGATGGCAAAATGTGAAGACCAGGTAGTTAGATTAGGACCAGACATGATGGTGGAGAGGGAGTAGAAAGGGTGACTGAAGAGAGCCTACCTTTTCTTAAAGGTCTGGGTTTCTCCTACAGTTTAAATGAACGAACAACATGACAAATTTAGTGCTGATAAGTACAAAATAACGCGCATATAATAATGTGCTCAGTAGTTCACATTTTTCTCTGTAAACTTTCAAACTAGGAATTTGAAACGAAGTTGGTTGGCAATGTCAGTGGTTTACTGAAGACAGCTGTTGGATGTGTGGTTACTGTCAAAAAAGTTGGAAGGCATCAAAAGGAATGATGAACAATACAAAGAATATTTTAGTTTCTGTATAAAGTCAATTGTGTGTCTTCATCTGGTACAGTAGTGGCCACTGTCTCAAGAAGGATATTGTGAAACTAGAGGAACTAGTACAGGAAATAGTCGTGATATTCCTTACCACCAGCACGATCTCAGTGAGCTGAGAAGAGTCGAGGTATTCCCCAAGGGTGCAGTTTCATGATTGGCTTAAGCCAACCCAAGGCTGTTGTTTTGCTGAAAAGGATGTGTTTTTCCCAATTCCAGGAGTGCATTTTTGCTTTGCCTCTTTTGTTGCTTTTACTGGCCATGCTTGTTTGTTTATCTACTACAAGGACTTTTAGATCACTTGTTTCATCTATTGAGTTTTCAGAAATAAATGCTAGAAGCATTGATGTAAAATTCCTCCATTGTTAATCTACATCTGAATGACTTGACTTGAAGATCAGTCAGGAAAAAATAAAATTAATGTACTGCTCGAACAATTATATGTAATCACAGCTTTTATAATTATGTAAGGCTATGTTTTTTGTTCTGATATACACATATACACAAGAATGCATGTATCTAGCTCTAATGCCGAAACAGAATTTATTTTAAAACTAGATAACAATCTTCTAACTTACTCAATAGGTTGATAAACCAAGAGGGTTTGCAAGGGGTCTTGATCCTGAGCGGATAATTGGGGCTACGGATAGCAGTGGAGAGCTTATGTTCCTCATGAAATGGTAAGTCTTATATCCGCAGTTCTGGTCCATATTGAGGGAGGGCAGGCAGTTGCACTTAGGCTAATAAGGCAACTTCATTTCAGGAGTAAGACAGCTGGTGATCTCCTTATTAACCTTGTATTCTTAGAAAAACAAAGCTTGTATGATCGGTTAGCACTTAATTCTCTCTTCCTTCCAAAATAAAAATAACTATGTTCTGTTGGTTCAGTTTTACAGAAGTAGAAATTTGAAAGGTAAATTCTGATAAAATACAGAAAAATTGTTATTTGTACAGAAAAGCTGGATCTCAGTGGTGTTCTTGCTGCGGGAACAGTAGGCAGAACTCCGGCTTCACATGTTTCAATAAGCAGAAGCCAGCTGCTGGATAGCCAACCTTTTAACCAACCCAAGTGCCAGCTGTTCTGCGTGCAACCAAGTGGATAGAGAATTGGAAGGAACTAGTGGAGGAAGCTGAGGCTGAGTTGGAGAACAAACAATATGAAGGAGAGGTTTATCGTTGTGGGCTAGTAAGAGTGGAGAGTGATGGGGGGAGTTTGCGTTGTTGGGAGGCTAGAGGGAGACCAGCTTCGTTAGCTACAGTGCTGATGGAAGACTTCTTGTGTCTCTTTAGTGAACAGGTAGGATAAAATTAAATTGTTTTTCCAGTCTTGAGAATACAAGAGATTGAATTAACATTTGCTGGGGGTCAGATTTCTTATGGTGTTGGGATGAGAAGAATGATAGCTTTCCACAGCCTTTGAGAAGGGCATAATTTTCTGAATGGAGTCAAACTGAGTGGTCTCCAGAGAAATGATTTGTCGTGTGATGTGCCTGGGCTGCTGAAGATTAGTGCTTTGGAAGATTCTGTCTCCCTTCTGCCTTTTCAAATTCTCTATAAATTTTATGTGAAACTTAGAAGAGTTGCAAAATACAGATCGTGACTATTTGAATTTCTGTAGTGACAATTGGCAAAATGAAACACAAAGGAAACGTACAAAAAAAAGTGCTTTTTTGTTTAGTTCAGTTGCAGTTGATTAGTTTTTCCATAAATGATTGTAGGCAACAAACATAGATATGAATATGTATGCATAAAACTGACTTGTAAAGGCAGCATACACTTTAAAATGGAATCTGAAGCATGTCAGACTGGAAGTTTGTTTTATTACCCCAAGACAGTATCAAGAATAGCAGTATGAAATATAGCAAGTTACCTGCATAAACAGTAAATATAATTTGGATGTAAGTACCACCTCTTAAGACTGATGCTATTGATTTTTAAGTCTCACTTTGAAGATTTGGTTATGCTTTAAAAGACAAAATTAGCGAAGTTTTATATGAAATATAGCAAGTTACCTGCATAAACAGTAAATATAATTTGGATGTAAGTACCACCTCTTAAGACTGATGCTATTGATTTTTAAGTCTCTGAAGATTTGATTATGCTTTAAAAGACAAAATTAGAGAAGTTTTACTTCTTTCATTACATACTGCAGTAGGTAACTGTATAAATGGTTCCCTTTTGCATAGCGTTTTCCTTTCAAACAGAAAAAAACATGGGAAGGGAAGGAAGATACAGCTGTGAAACCTTGCCATTAGCATGGAAATGCTTGGTAGCTATAGTGAAAGGTATACTGAAAACTGATTTCTAGCTGACATTCTTTTCAGAACTTACGACCTATCAAGAGCTGCTAAATTTACTGAATTAATGATCATGCGTTTTCTTAAATCCCACTCTCTTCTACACCAGGAAAGACTCTGATGAGGCAGATCTGGTCCTGGCCAAAGAAGCTAACGTGAAGTGTCCTCAGATCGTAATCGCTTTTTATGAAGAGCGACTAACTTGGCATTCATGCCCAGAAGATGAAGCACAATAATTGTTTGCGTTGCTTTTTTATATATATGAATATTAAAACCTGAAATTTGATTTATTAGCAATGTGAGAAGCATACATTCTAACAAGAATCAAATTTGATATTTTTTTGAAGTAGTACGTTTTGCATCAACAGCAAGTAAATAAAAGCTTTCTGCAACTTGTTTCATTTATCACAAGAGAGCATTTGATACTACTACTTCCTCCATATTAGGTAAAAGCTTTTATAAAACATTCATAAACTTCCATAGTTATTACAGAATCATAATGAATGTCTAAACAAACTCATGGATGTTTTGTAGTCTTCTATACTATTGATGTGCATGTATCTTCTTTACCCAAACCTAGCCCTTTAAACCTGTAGAATCATTCTTTTTAGTATTTGGGGTCACTTGGTCCCAAGAAGACCAGGCGAAAACTAACTTTGTAGTAATTTGAATGTTATCAGACTGTATATTGTTTACTTTATTGTAAATACTGGTGAACAGTGGTCAATAAAATAGTTTTATATTCTTCCTTTATACTGATAGGCTGTGACTCTTTTGAAGCGGTATGATATTTCTGAACTTTTGATATGTTAAGCTCTCAATTCATAATATATTTAACTGTTAAGTTGTTTTTTGGGGGTAGATTGATTAATTAATATGACCCCATTGTTACTCTGTAATCACAGTACGAGACAAATACCAGGCTTTGATTCTTTGTATTTTTTTGTGAACAATGCCTGAGGCATAGTTTTTTTCAGTCAGGATGGGCCTGTGAAATGAATGTGCTTTGGGTACTTGTTTAAGTCACAGATAGCAACCATACTGCTATGGTATGGTTGTATGGTCACAAGGCCGAGCGGTCTCTGCAGATGTACTAGGAAATATTTGACATGTGTTGATAGTATCAGCGTTTGCTTTAATTTCAGGTCTTAATGCAAGGCTATACTGTAACTAGCAGTGTTTCGGATGGAATTAGCTCTGCCTTTAAAGTAGAATATTTTACTGACGATACTAAGTCATATACTTTAAACAAAAGATTTTGTTTCCATTTCAGATTGAATTTTAAAATAAGTCCTATAATCAGCTGCTTGCAGAATGCCTTCAGAAGGGCAGAAGTAAGGGGTGGGGAACTCAGGAGGAGGAGGAAAGTTGCCTTTTTCCATTCTTTCTTCAGTTGCCATTCCTTTTTTCACTTGCTTTCATCTATACACCTTCTTCTATTTGTGTTTTGACTACCATGGTATAGTTTGCCTTGATCTGTGCCTCTATATGTCAATGGCCAAGCTTGTTTCAGAATTCCCCTTAATTTAGAGTTTTGACTAAAAAAAATAATCCTGTAATATGCTACTGTCAATGCCCTAGGCGAGACAGTTAAGATCGCCCAGCTATGTTTTCTTAGAAGCTTAAAAAAAGATGGGTATTCCTGGAAACCCTCATATGGTGTGCTGAGGAGCGGATGAAGGAATTTAGTCTGTGCTTGATGTTCTTTTGATACTGTTTCACAAATAATTACTATAACTACTTGTCCTCACATAGTTTCAAAAGCCATTTACATTGTGAATCAAAACTTGTAAAACACTTAATTATAGTTAAACGCTGGGGTGGCTAAACTGATGCTAAATTACCCTTTTATGTGTAACTGCTTTGTCTTGTCAAGATTTTTTATTATTGGGTTTGGGCAGAATTCAGTCGCTGTCTATTTATGGCTCTAGGAAAAATCTGGTATCCCTGTTAGTGTGGGCGTTCCCTTGCACCAAGTAATGATAATTTCAGAGCCTAGCTAGCTTCTCTTGCCTGTTCCTTAGACAAATGACCCTGAATTTGTCATATGTGTAAGTCTTCTACAGAGTTCATGGCTGCCTTGGTTTCGGCTGGGATAGAGTTAATTTCCTTCCTAGTAGCTGGTACAGTGCTGTGTTTTAGATATAGGATGAGAGCAAAGTTGATAACACACCGATGTTTTAGTTGTTGCTGAGCGGTGCTTGACAAAAGTCAAGGACTTTTCAGCTTCTCATACTGCCCTGCCAGCGAGGAGGCTGGAGGTGCGCAAGAAGCTGGGAAGGGGACACAGCCAGGACAGCTGACCCCAGCTGACCAAAGGGATACTCCATATCATATGACGTCATACTAAACAAAAAACTGGGGGGAGTTAGGTGGGGGTGCGGCCACTGCTCAGGAATTGCTGGGCATTAGTCAGCGGGTGGTGACCAATTGCATTGTGCATCACTTGTTTTGTATATTCTTTTATCATTTTTATTATTTTCCCTTCCTTTTCTGTCCTATTAAATTGTCTTTATGTCAACCCATGAGGTTTACCTTTTTTCTGATTCTCTTCCCCCATCCCACTTGGGGGGGGGGAGTGAGCGAACGTCTGTGTGGTGTTTAGCTGCCTGCCAGGTTAAACCACAATAATGGCTTAATTCTTTGGGGGCTATAATAGGAGTATTTATGCACCTAGTATGTAGGATGCTGAAACCCTTGGTTTTTTTACCCAGTAGCTTGAGAAATATGCCGGCTAAACAAGAATTCCAAAGCAGCTTGTGTTCTCCCGCCTGCTCCTTCAGTATGGAGTGCTTTTTTAAAGAGTTAAAACTGTTACTCTACAGTTTGTGTTTTACTGTCTGAAACTTTGCAGTTTCTATACTTTGTTTCAAGTGTGGATATCAAGTTTATATGAAGTTGCTGATTTGAAGCAATAACAGGCTAAACAGTTGATTTAAATTATCAGTTATTGTAAGTGGTAGACATAGAGATTTTTGTTGAAAGGTTGATTCTCCTTAATTTGTAACCCTTAAAATAGAGATTTGCAACTCGATAACAGCTTTTACATTGTATTTGGTTCTTCCTTCTGACTATCCGTAAAAGTGCACTGTATTCACATTTAAACAACTTTGCAGCTTGTTAGACAATTACTTAGATTTCAAGTTTTTTACATTATGACGGTAGAAATGCTGACTGGTATTTGATTCCTTTTTTTTTTCTCCTCACTTTGTGTCAAACTGCATTTTGATAGTAATGAAATGCAACACTTTAAAGTTACGAGTTCTGTAAAATTATGCTGAATGTGCTGCATACATATGCAAAAAGTTAACAAATGTTATTAAAATTAACTGATTAAATAAATGAGATATCTTCTGTAGTTAGTGAGTTGTGCAGAGGTTTCTGGTTATTGTCCTTTCTTATAACAAAACAAATAGGTTTCAGGCTGTCATTTCATGATCACTCTATGCTGATGTTGTCCTGAAAAAAAAACAAACAAAAAAACCCCAACCAGTTCTGCTTGCTCTAATACGACTCCTGACCCTGGCTGAAGAAAACACTCGAGTTAAACGTAACCAGGTAGTGCTAGGTTATTGCAAAATTCAAATCATGATCAGTTATGGCATCATCTTCTCACAGCCTGGTTCTTACTTCTTTGCTAGGAAAGAATAATACATTTTGCTTTTTTAAAACTCCTAGTTTGTTTATTAGTATTGAATTAATTGCAAATTAATTAAAGCTGCTGTTGGAATAAAACAAATAGCACTGGCAAGAAAAGCTATCAGCATTGCAAGTGAATTTTATCAGTCTAGCACAAACGGATTCTACATGCTTCATGGTAATTATTCTAGATTTATGGTCCAGTTCTCTTTAAAACTGCTTGGCAGTTTCTTAACAATAGATTATAGTACATTTACGAGTCAACATATGTTGCCATAATTTCAAGTGTTAACTAGAAGTACATTTTTTTCTTTAATTGCAAATTATTATTTTTCTTACTCACCTGAATTAGGCTCTTGCACTATAAAAGATTGTCCTCCTTTCCTGTTCAAAGAGCTTTCTCCAACATCCTCAGTGTTTCTTTTACTGTCGGTGTCCTCCTCTCTGGAATTTCTTCTCAAAATGCCACCTTTTATTCAACTTCTGAATTCAGCTGCTTATGTTAAGACACATCTACTCTGCTGACAGAGGCCTCTAAACCTGAACTGGCAGCCAAGCCAGATGCCCCCAAATTTGTTTCTGAGGTGCCTCCCCCAAAATGAAGAGTCTTACTGCACAGACTTACTGCACCTTACAAGCTGAAGTGCAATACCATGGAAATATGGCTGTATGGTTCCTGGACCAAACATTGCAGGGTCGAATGGAGGCACGTTTTTCCCTGTTGATTTATGAAGCTGTGTCTCCACTAGCTCAAGGAGTTGTGCTTTGTTTTGGAGAGCGAATATGCAGACTAGCTGTTGTGGGGTTTATCTGTCCCAGATGTATACTGTTCAGTATACATCAGGGCAGTTTCTGCCTGATAGTGTTTTGCTGTTCTCTCAGCCTTTAGTTGTGACAACACTTGGGAGGGCGTGCAGCAGCTGAGGTAAAAGTGTTTGGTGGTACTTTCATCTCAGCAGGACCTGGAAAGAGCTGCGGAAGCTTTGAGCTTCACTCCTGCTCCTTCCTGTTGGGACAATCCCAGCTGTCAGCTTGGGTAACAGATAATTCTGAAGTTCAAATGGAGAACTTCCATCTCCCAAAATCCCTTTCAGGGACCCCTATCAAAGTACTCTGGGCTCTCATTTCAAATAAATGATAGATGGTTTAAGTTAATTTTTTCTTTTTTTAATGCCGAACAAAATTTTAGCACTTGTCCCAGAGAAAGAGCCTGCAATTCCACCCCCGTGCAGGCAGGAACAGTGCTTTTCTTCCTTGTAAAGTGCTGTGGGATTTATTAACACGGTGAGACAATTGGATATGATTCCCAGGGCTCCAGATGGCACCTGCCAGATGGGAGCTCACATTCTTATGTCTGAAGATGCTGGCGTTGATGGCATGGTGTTTGAGAATGCAATAACCTTTTGTGACGGATTTTCTTACTAGATAATGGTTTTAGTAAGTGGTCAAGTACTCCCATTCATTACAGTGTCTGCAAAATTACTTTAATCTGGTGAAAAGGTCACCCTTCTGGGTATGGTATTGGATGGCAGGGTTTGGTTTCTAGCCTTGGTTGAATGTACAAATCCCTCAGATATGCTAGACCAGCATCATTGGTTTCTACATCTGATTCCTCCAAAAATGGGAAGTGCACTGCTCTGCACAGAGTTCCCATTTGAAATCTGTGTGTATTTTTGCTTCAAAATCTTTATCAAAAACACTGGGCCTTATTGCTTGACTTTTTATAAGCAGGGTCAACAGTCAGGAAGTTCTGTCTTTATAAAGAAAAGGCAGTTAAAGAAACTTAGAACCATAGAATCATTTAGATTGGAAAAGACCCTTAAGATTATCGAGTCCAACCGTTAACCTAACACTGCCAAGTCCACCATTAAACCATGTCCCTAAATGGCACATCTACACGTCTTTTAAATACCTCCAGGATTGGTGACTCAGCCACTTCCCCTGGGCAGCCTGTTCCAATGCTTGACAGCCCTTTCGGTGAAGAAATTTTTCCTAATATCCAATCTAAACCTCACCTGGCACAACTTGAGGCTGTTTCCTCTCGTTTTATCACTTGTTGCCTGGGAGAAGAGACCGACACCCACCTCGCTACAGCCTCCTTTCAGGTAGTTGTAGA